CTTAAAATAGTAGTATAACTGCATAAACGCCACTTATTTATGAAAACAACTTAAATATTTTGCGTTTTAGCCAAAAATAATGAAGGTTAACTGGTCAAGCTTGCAACCATGAAGCGGCAAGAACTCCAAGAGACCCCGATCTTCTAGAAGCCCCTAAAATGGTCAAAGTCAACACCCTTGCATTATACCTCCCGGCGCCATGCCCCTAGACCAGGTGGGCTCTCCTTTTCCTTTCCTGTCTACTCCCAAATGGCTCCCATTCTTATATGAGGGTCCCTGGTAAACTTGGAGGACATTCCTGTAGTTTTCTTCTCCACTCCAATGCAGCTAAGTCATTTGTGAACCTCCAAGCCCTCCCTACCCTTTGTAATAGGGTTAAGATCCTCTTCTTCTTCCAAAAAATTGCGTTCAGCAGAGGGAAGGGAGATGCTAGTCGAAGGAGAGGCATCATTAAAAGTCTGCATAGGGAAGGAAACTTGGACAGTAAAATTCATCGTGCGTCCAGAACTGGCCTGGAACGTGATACTTGGTGCCGATTTCCTTCGCTACACCAAAGCCGTCCTAAATTTTGCAGAAGGAACCTTTTCCACTCATCGAGCCACTGGGCCTAAAGCAGATACTTCGCCACCGAAAGACGACGCAGATGACATCTGCAACACCCTTTTGAAGCTGCAGCCATTCCCATGAACAATCTGGATCACTTTTGTGCACAGCTGACTCATATTTTTAGCTACGAGAGAAAAGAACTCCGTCACCTCCTACTTAAGTATGCGAACATCTTCCCATGGTAAGGTGTAAGACTGGGACGAACAAATACCATCAAGCATAAGATTGATACTGGTGAAGCTAGGCCAATTTGGCAACCACCCAGACGTATTCCACCTCCTTTGCTGGAAGAAGTAGACCGTCTGGTTGAAGAAATGCTTCAAGACGATGTTATAAAGCCGTCCAAGTCACCATGGCCTCTCCCATCGCGTTGGTAAAAAAGAATGACGGCAGTCTGCGGTTATGCATCAACATAAGAAAGTTGAAAGCTGCAAACAAGAAGGATGCCTTCCCCCTTCCCCACATAAATGACTCACTTGACTCACTACATGGATCCCAGTGGTTCTCCATCCTAGATTCGAAGTCGGGATATTGGCAAGTAGAAGTGGCAGAAGCAGACCGAGAAAAGGCAGCTTTATATTGCCAAATGGGCTTTATGAATTTCAAACGATGCCCTTTGGACTCTGCAACGCAGCGGCCACCTTCCAACGCCTCATGCGAACATCTCTAACTGGCCTTTTCCGAAAGCATTACATAATCTATCTTGACGACATTCTCGTTTTTGGTGGAGATATTCAAGAGCACAATGCTAACCTGAAACTAGTGTTGGACAGCCTACGGGATGCAGAGTTAACCTTGAACAAGAAGAAGTGCCGTTTCCTGCAACGCTCGGTTACCTTCCTGGGACATACAGTCTCGTCGAATGGGATGGCAGTCACCGAAGACCGGGCACAACAAATGAGGACAAGGCCTACACCAACCAACCAAACGGAGCTCTGCAGTTTCCTAGGTCCGGAAAATTGTTATCGGCGCTTCGTAAAGGGTTTTGCTAAGGTCGTCAACCCGCTGCATAAATTAACTGATCTCAAAGACACACACGACACCTGCCTGTCCGCAAGGCAACGACCAGGTGTAAAGAACGAATCGCACCATGATCGGACTACTGAAGGCTTTCACTAAAGACACACAACCAGATGACTGGGATTTAGGCCCAGGGCGTGTTCTCGCATACAGAGCCACGGTCTATACGTCAACGGGTGTTTTTCGTTCATAATGCTCACAGGTCGTGAATTGAGAGTGCTCTCCAACATCTTCTTGCCAAACACCGACAAACCAGCCAACAATGTTCCAGAGTATATACTGGGTCCCAATGAAGGCATAAGAGGAACTTTTAACATCCACGCAAATATTTGCGGCTCTCTCACATCAGGCAGAAGAAAAATTCCTACCGACACAGCCGAACGGACGTCTACTGAGAAGGTGACTTAGTGCAAATTTACATACCGGTTCTCCCACCTGAAACACACCACAAGACCCATCACCCATGGAGCAAGGACCCATTTCGGGTGGTGAAGGCACAACTGCGTACCCAGCCGGCAACCATTCACCACAGCACAATAAAATTCTACAAAGGGTCACCAGTGGTTGGATATAAAAGAGATTTATCCCATTATTGAAGACAGGAAACCACCGGGTGGGAACTTCGAGAGGAGCTCGTAAGTGGCAGCACTAAAGACGGTGCTAAAGCAACGAGGGGGCTATGTAATACTCATGTTGTCCCAATATTCCTTTCAAAAATGAGGCGAGAAGACGAATCGAGCCTCGTGCGAGAGTCGGCGTTGTGCAAGCTTGGGAGCGGTTACGGATCCTCACACCCCTAAACTCTGTACTACTTTTCCCTATTCACTTCTATTAATAAATATATCAAAATCAAACTAACTCGGTTGTTCTAAGAGTATGAGGGATAGGGGGAGGAGACCTACTAGTCTCGCCCTACAATTGATTTGGTCATAAATTTTCTAACTTTTGTTCGTTTCGGTAAGCCACAGCACAACCCCTGGAATTAAAACTAAATGATGATTTTCGATTAAAAATCTGCACAGAAAATGTAAAGCAAAATAGGCTTTCAAAAATACAATTTTTATTAAACTCCAGTTTATTGTTTAAAGGTCCTGAATCATTTAAACAGATGGGTTTTGTGTGTATTTTTGAGGGCCTGCAATGAGTGAGGTATTCTCGGATTCTATGAGTGAATTGACGCACACTTGATGCAGCACTTGGCTTATGTCATGACGACATTAATTATGCACTTTTATCCATGTTATTTTGTGCCTTTCGGAGGTGTGCTCTTTTTCACGTGATATGTTATATATATATATATATATATATATATATATATATATATATATAGTAG